GTATTATTATGTGTATCTAAAAGGCACTTGCCTTTTTTTTTTTTTTTTTTTTTTTTTTTTTTTTTTTTTTTTTTTTTTTTTTTTTTTTTTTTTTCTTTTTTCCCGTATTATGTTATCCTGTAGCTTTACCTTTCGCTTTTTCTGACGGCAGTTTTCACATGCGAGCCAGACACGGCGTTTTACGTCCATAACTATCGTCGCACTAGGGAAGCTGTTCGTCGAGACAGCGTGAAAGATAGCATGAATGAAAAGGTAAGGGAAAAGTAGCAGTCTGGGAGGGGGAAGAACGGGGGCATGCGGCGGACAGGCGGCTTTATAGGTGCATAGGTTGTCTGGAAGTTACAGTAGCTAGTTTACGTAAAACAACGTGAGCTGTTGAAATTAGATAAGAGCTGATACTCCCTACGAGAACAAATTCAAGATACCTCTTTCAGATTCATCATTCTTATCAAGCAAAGAAGTTGCTGGTCCAGAACAGTCTAAAATAGTCCACTTTCTTAATCTGCTATGGTTTCGGTGCTGTTAATCCTCATGCGAAGTGTACCTGGCTGGCTGCATTGTTGGTGACCTTCAGGCTGAGAAGATCCGGCCGCGAGTAGTGACCAACCACATCTAGGTTTTGCTTCGCACGCCATTTCTCAGCAAGTTCCACGTCGGCATACAGGATTACCTCCTCGCCCGCGTCTGGAGCTTCTACAAGAGGCTCTCCTGCGGGCCCATAGATCATCGAGAATCCACCACCGGGAGCCTTGACAAATGACCACTTATCCACCTTGTTGCGCTCGCAATTCTCCGCAGACATCACTTGTGAGCAGATTAGGGTGAAGCATGCGCCCTCCATGGACATCACCTGAGTCAGCTTCCCGCACATCTCGCTGGAAATGTGGTATTGCATCTCGGCACACGCGCCAAAGATCAAAGGCCAGCTAGCAATGTGGATGTCGACATTCTGTGCGTACTCGTAGTACCGCAATAGGGTCTGGGTGTGTTCCCAGCAGTTCAACCCTCCGATATTGCCAAACGAGCTCTTGACCACCGACTTGAGCGAATCAGCCTGGCCCTCGCCCCAGAAGCCACGCTCAACATGAGTGGGCTTGATCTTACGGCGATGATGAACAATATCGCCATTTTCGTCAATGAATGACTTGAATCATATACCATAAGCTTGTGGGTCTTTGGAAAAAAAAAAAAAAAAGAGAGAGAGAAAAAGAAAAAGAAAACCATAAGGCAACGGACACTTTCTTACCTGAGAAATATACAAAGATCCTTGATATCTCTCGCTGTAGCCAAGCACACAGAAGATGCCAGCTTCTTTGACAGCGCAGCGGATGCGATTCATTTCTTCGGAGTCTCGCTCCAATGAATTACGAAAGTACTCAACCATGAACTCCACGTTGTCCACCACAGACTGATTCCAGATGCTCCTGGCCACGGTCAGTGCATGCTACTCAGGTCTAAAAGGCGTCTTGTGCTGTGCTTACCAGGGATAACCAGGGATCCAAACTTCGGGAAATCCCATCACGTTCGCGCCATTCTTGCCGGCTTCGATAATCAATCGGATGGTTTTCTCGACGCCCTTCTGTAAATTGTTCCATTCGGGCTCGGCTTGAACAGCTGCCACGCGGATAGTCTTTGGCCCGTCGTGAGACATGTTGTATGAATGAGAAAAGGAAGAATGCTTATTCTAGTTCGGAAAAGATATGTTGAGAATGAATGAATTGGATCGTGATTTTATAGTAGATTTTTCTCTCTCTCTCTTACACTCTAGTGACTTTCCGACATATACTCTCCGATGGAAGGTCAGGCAAGCTGAAGTTGGTGACGGGCCAGGAGTATCCGAGTATCACATGTAATAGAAATTGTACGGCTCCACCAGAGGCCTCTAGCTCGATAAAGATAAGGCAACCGAAATGCGGAGCGTAACAAGATAGTCGCGGGTGCGCATTTTCCGGAGACCCACTGTCCCGAAGTTTCCTTTGGCCAGTGCGCAGCACAGATGATTGGTACACATCTTTACACTTACAAAAAATTTACTAAAATGATCACAAGAGAGTTTTTCAAATTTTAGTCGACGGCACGAAGATCGAGGATAAAACGAATAAGCACGTTACCGACTAGTACAGCGAGGATGGCTGCCCTCCAATTCGCTATTCGTGCGGTTAAACACTACCCTATCAGCTTATCTCGACATAACAACCTGTCGATTGCCCCACCGAATTTGTCGACCCTTACCCTGGCTTTTGGTAAACCTAATTCACTATCTTCATCCCTGACGAAGTAAACAAGTCTAATCCGGGCCAAGAACTTCCGATCATCATAGGATACATACATGATAAGGGTTGTCAAATGACAATCTGGAAGAGCATGAAGCCAAAACTAACCTCTGAAGATATAGAGAAGACTGGTTTGCTCGCCAAAAAAAAAGAAAAAAAAAAAGGCCGTGTCGTTGATCATCGAAATGCCGTCCCTCAGCGCTTACAACGCTTCCGTATGTGAAATTTATGTAATCCTGAATGAATCTCGGCTTGATCCTGGGCTGACTTAAATTCCCTTTCTCCATTTGCACAGATTATTGCGTTTGCGACATTTGGTAGTATCACATACGGATACTGTGCAAGCATCATTAGTTCAACATTGGGCCAGCCAACGTTTGTGTCTTATTTTAAGCTTGGGACTGCCGACAATGCCTCTGCCTTGGAGGGAGCTATGAATGGCCTCTTTCAAGCCGGTGGACTCTTTGGCACTTTGCTATCAGCTTGGGTAGCTGATCGATACGGGCGCTGCAAGGCAATTTTCATGTACACTGTCATCACAATCATTGGCGGTGCGCTACAAACTGGATCTGTTCACATTGCCATGTTCTTGGTCGCTCGATTCATTACCGGTCTTGGGATTGGAGGCCTTCTTATGCTCGTTCCATTATGGCAAAGTGAGGTCTCTCCGCCGGGTCATCGTGGCCTCTTGGTAGGACTGCACGGGGTCAGCATTCTGATTGGTTATGGGTTGTCGACGTGGATTGGGTATGGATTCTTCTTCCTCAAGGGTACTGAGGCCCAATGGCGAGTTCCACTTGCTATTCAAATTGCACCTGCTTCTATTCTTGGCTGTGGGATTCTGATGATTCCGGAGTCACCTCGGTGGCTGGTGAAAAATGGTTATGTCGAAGCTGCGAACGCTGTCCTCCATCGCATCCATAAAGATGCCAACGATCCCGACAATACGTTTGCTCAGGAGGAGTTCAATCAGATCCAGTCCCAACTATCTTATGAAGCAACGCTACCCTCCTCCTGGAAATCGATCGCGACCGTGCCACACTACCGAAAACGCGCTTGGATTGGTTTCTTGACCATGTTCGCGGGTCAATTTACGGGAACGCTAGTGATAAATAACTATGGGCCAACCTTGTATTCAAGCCTAGGGTATGGGTCCGCTGATACACTACTGCTATCCGCCGGGTGGATCACAGAGGGGCTGTTCGCCAACATGCTAAATGCCTACCTCCTAGATCGCGTGGGAAGGAAATGGCTGATGACGACCGGGCTTGCCGGGTGTGTCTTGGCCCTTGTGGGTGAATGTATCTTCCTTGCGCTTTTTCAAGGGACTAACAACAAGGCTGGTAATTCGGTCGCTGTCTTCTTCCTCTACCTGCACCTGGCGATCTACGGGTCATGTATGGACGCGTCTACTTATGTATTTGCTTCCGAAATTTGGCCCACGCATCTCCGAGCGAAAGGATTTGCTCTCTCGTGCTCCGGCCTTTTCCTGGGTTCCCTCATTCTCCTAGTCTCTGCACCAACGGCTTTCGCCAATGTTGGGTGGAAATTCTACCTCGTCATGGTTATTGTTTCTTCGATCAACATTGCCATCTTTGCTCTCTTTCTCCCCGAGACGAAGGGTCTTCCTCTGGAGGAGATTGCGGCACGTTTTGGAGATCCCGTCACCTCTCACTTCGATGCCCAAGTCCAGGTGATCAACGGAGAAGATGACCTTAAGAATTTGTCCCCGAGCCCTCCAGCAGAAAAGGCTAGCCGCCCCTAGCCCATTGTCTTCGAAATATGGGGCTCAATGGGGGAGGTTCCGGGGGGGGCAGG